GGCGACGATATTGAAGAAAAAAGGCAACGTTGCAATTTTCTTGGACTGTATCATTATCCCAGGTAATGTTCGTTGACAGAGGTGAACCTGAGCTAATATTGGTTTGGTTGTCGAATAATGGATTTGACGTCGTGGTTGAAAGGTTTCCCGGCGCAGGACCGCCGAGGGAAGTTTTGTTGAAATTGAAGACCATTGGAGTCTGAGAATTGGTGCTGAAGCTTCCGTTGAAATGAAGAAAGTGACATGGGAATCTAATCATCCGACCCGCATCTCCGTCAAAAAAGACAGGGACAGCAAAAGCTAGCAAAAACAAACGAGAAAGCGTCGTTACTTCTCGACTAGTTCCGTTTATTTCCGACACACTGCTCTGCAGGCTGGCGAATATTGTGACGTCCGTCGAGTTTTCATTGGCGGCTAATTTCACTAGGCTTTTAAGCACCGGAGGTGCGTTTTCTGGTCGCAATTTCTGTATTGTTACTCCAAAAGATCGAAACAAATCCACCACGTCTTGAGTCTGGAACATGGCCACAAGGAAAAAGAAGTCGAAGACGACGGATGCTGGAGCTGTCAAAATAATGAGAATGTTTAAAGCAAAATGGCAACGTTTGCGATGATCGCTGCATCCGTCTCTTACGTAACGTTTGTAGCACCAAATGACAGCCATTGCAAATTCAATGGCCATTATGCATAAAGAGGATATCACGCTTAGTACACGTGACAAAAATGTGAGCTTTCCCGTAAGTCTTTGGGTGAACGCACATGATTCTGTATTCGCTATACTCCATGTTAAAATTGCAAGGGGTAAATCCTCTAGCAACTGCTCCAAAAAAACAAGAATGCGAAGAGCGAGCTCTATATTCTTCCCATCGGACTTCCCATCGGACTCGGAGACTTCTTTCCGCCTTATATGGGTCACCTTTGTTTTAAGTTTTACGATGGACAACGGAATAACAACAATGACCATTAACGTTCCGCAAACACAAAAGACGAAGTACCAATTGCGCAAAGCACTGTTTTCCCCTTCTCCGTCTATATATGTTACATCAATTCTTGATATTTCTGAATACGCTATCCAGTCCATGACGGCGTCAATGATTGCAAGTACCATGAGGACGAACGTCTTGAACAAAAGAAAATATGGTTTGTATATCTTCCAGTATTTCTTTAAGCACTGACAGCACCTGGAGCTGAAATGAAGTGGGAAGAAGGAGAAAGTTTATATATATTATATAAAAAGTATATAATATAAAGAATATATATATATACATGGGAATGATTATCAAATTGCATGCATATGACATAGAAAATTAATAAAATATATGTGAAATTTTACACATAGTTAAAGAATGGGTTCCCATGAATCTATCGTACAAGCAGAATCGATCTAACCCCGAGGGGGATTCTGGCTACATTGCATTCAGTTTAAAGCATACAGTTTAAGGCGACTTTAATGTACTGTATATAACGCCAGATTAAGCTGCTAGGGGTACAATTAACTTTCGTTTACGCTTAAACTAAATTCAATTATGTGAGAAACCCCTAGGAGATCGATCGATCTTGCTTGTACGGTAGGGTTACGGGAACTGTCCCTAAGCTTATCCACTGTCCTTTAGACGCTGTCCTGGTTCACTTGTCACCTTTAATTTTCTTGCCATATACCCCTGTTTACAACACAGGTGGGAGGGGGTTAAATTTACTGTATATGATAATAAAAATGTCTCGGTTCCCTCTCAAGGTTATTTAGTCAAGATCGTGTATCGATAGTGACTTACTATGGCGTCACTCGGACGCCTTTTTTTGGGGGGGTGGGGGGGGGGAGGGGTACTTCCACTGTGATAGATCCGATGGCAGACAAACAGATTATAAATAATGTCTATGATCCTCATTACTTTTGCTTAATTTACTGTAAGTAAACCTACACTCAGGAAAAGAAACGGCAGGTAAGAACTTCACGATAGGGGCATTACCTGTAAACCATTCCTGTCACACCTGTACAAAGTAATGTCCCTATTTCAAACAGACTTGAATCGTAATCAGTGAAGTTCTTAACAGATTCGTATATATTCGTAGTCAGTTCTTGCAATTCTTGATCAATCACGAACTGATTACGATTCAACCAGGAATCCTGATATTTGTCAACTCCTGACGATTCGTGGGATTCGTGGTCTGTGTGAAATAGCGGCATAACGGACATAACGGGGACAGGACTACGGCCCCCAGCGGACTACCATTCCTGTCACACCTGGGCTAGGAATCTCGAAAGGTTCGCTATGTTGCGCACGCGCTATATAGCATAGCTAGCGTGTGCTATTTGCTAGTGCGATTGCACCCACCTGCTATCTCGAAGCCTTAGCAAACGCAACGCAATAAATGCCTGTCCGGAAGTACAATTTTAGTCTCAAACACACGCCTAGCGGTTCTTTTTTTGTTTGGAGGGACGATAGTAAATCGCACGTGAAATGGAGAAACACAGCAGGGAGCGTTATAAAACCGATGAGCTCGCGGCTGTATTTAGCCCCTTCACCAACACCGTGACTCTAAAGTCCAAAGAAAAACAATGGGCTGAAGTAAGTTGAATAATTATGATTAACAGTCCTCTTCTGTTAATCGTAGTCTGTTTTGCCATGGTAAAATTATATCCATTATATTTAATTATTGCTTATTGATGATTTAGTTTGGTATGTTGTTGTAGTTATTCAATAAAAGTAATTGTAATTGCTCTCTATTAACACATCTTGACATGGTCATGTACATGTATGATGAAGCAATAAAGTGGTGATTCTTATATTTTTTATTAAAATTATGAATGCTTTCCTTCTAGTGTTAACAGCGTTTCACATATAAAGAGGAGTTTCCGAGAGGTCAGGAAAAAATGGCATGACCTCACGTCTCGCACTAAGCGCAAAGAGGCCAAACGCTGTGCAGCAATGCGGCAGACAGGTGGTGGTGTGGGGCCCTGTCCACTGTCAGAGTGGGAGAAGAAGGTGTTATTGTGTTATTATTAAAAATAAATTTGTATATTAAATTGTTTCGTTTTATATTTAATTGCTTAAAGAACCTCAAGATGATATTAAGTAGAGTAATTAACTTAGACTCTGTGAATATGAATACTTCAACACTGAGTTTCTCAGACATACCCTATTGGAATATCCAATCACCAGGAGGCATATTTTATACATACATATATCTCTATATATGTATACTGATTTCTATACCTATTAACAAATGAAACTTTATAGGTAATTTCAAACATATAGCTTATGAAAGCGTTCAACATTGTCGGATAGTCGGCTTTTCATTTTTGTTGCTGCAACTCAACAGGAATATGTTCATTTATGAAAATTTATCACAGTGACTTAAAAGTACAGTATCTGTAAAATTCAGAATATTGAAAAGATTGAGTTCTTATTATATCATTTTTATATTTAATTATTAATTACATACATCTTCAAATTTCAGATGTAAGTGAAAGGCTTTACAACGTAGAGAAGGATCGCTTAGCATTAGAGGAGGAGAGGTTGAAAGTAGTAAAAGAGCGTTTACAGTTAGAAAGGGAGAGATAAGAAATTGACAAAAGTAACAAAGTGTTATTTGAAAAAATAACAGAATACTGTAAAGTGAAGTTGGATGTACTAAAGTGTGAGTCTCTTGTAGATACTTACCAGTGAGTGCATCTTATTGGAATCATGATATTTTATGTTTTTGCCAAGACACATACTAACTGTATGTTATTGTACATCACTGTACTGGCCATTAGTTGCATCTGTTGTTGCAGTCATCATCTCTGTACTGTGAACTTACACAGATAACATGTTAAATAAAAAAAATACATCTTCTGTCTTAAAGGCAACAGAAGTGATGATTATCCATAAAATACAGGTCAAATTTAAATATCACCTGGATTGGACCATATTACTGTATGCAATTCAAATGACATATTGCAAGGAAAATGTCAAACTTTCATAAGGAGAGTTCCAAATTATTAAAATATTTTGTTTCAAAACCATCCAGATCAAATTAATTTTGGTAAATTATTATTTTTATTTATTAATTTTCTTTGTCTGTGAATGTGTGAAATATTAATTTTTCACATATTAGCATTTTCAAGGTGAGACACAACTTGAAGACCTTTTTTACTCACATTGTCTGGATATCCATAATACTTATATTATTTTAATTTTGTAGTGAATATGCTGTTGAGTATTATGTTATATTGCTTCAAAATTGGTAAAATCCCTATTGTGGACCCTGCCACCACAAATGTAATGAAAAATTAAACTTTGTTACTTATTTTTTTACGTACAAGAATGATTATAAGGATATACATACAGCTGATATTGAAAATGCCAACTTGACAGTATTAATCATTTTTTCCTTTCATTTATGCAATTTCTTTTTGATAATTTTTCAGTATTTTTCATTCAGTAATTTTCAATATGTGAATCAGTTTGATCATTCAGTACTGTATTTTAAACTAATTAATTTTATGACCTCAGCAAAGAACTGGAATTTGTTACAAATCTTTTATAAGGGATAGTTTTCATTTGCTTTTGTCCTTGAAAAGGACTTTATTTTTATATTGTACTTATTAACTTTAATTTAGACAAGAATATACATATAGTAAATTGTTTATAAAATTATTTTTATATTTTATTTTATATTTTCATCATGTTATTGTTTCATAAAATTAAAAAATTTATGTAAAATATAACTTGACCGTCTGTTTTGTTTCTTACATAAACTTAAAATTGATTTTATTTTGCCCTACTTGCATTGAAAGTGTACTTCAAAAGAAATTGACTTAAAGTATCAGTCTTTTTGATTCCTGGAATTTGTTATTAAATTTCCTGCATGAACACTAGCTGTTATATTTAATCAAATTTGTACACCTTTGTCATTTTGTACACTTATTTTAAATTTCAGTTCTTAGTAATATATGCAAAATATATGCAAAATATAATAAAATATGACATTTAAAAGAGAAAATCAGTTTTCATTATTTTATTTAATGAAAAAATAATCCTTATTCATCCCACAATGATTCATAAATGATCCAACTGAGAGTTAGAGAAAAATACCAGGAGAATATGGAAGTGTGTGTGAGACTCAGAGATCCTATGCAAGTACACGTAAAACAGCAAGAACTTGGGTAGTGGGTGACAGTACTCGAGACCTTGTACACATGTACATGTTAACCCATTACAGTGACGTCATATTTGCTCCGTAACACTAGTCCAGCAGCCATACTGGAGGGAAAGAACGACGGGGATTAGTAGCGTAAATATAGGTAAACCTAATAAAATAAACTAAACTTCATATTGCGATCAAGTACACCAAAAGGAAAAGTGTATATACATGTGAAAACTACAGCTGATCAGCGTGATCGACCCATATAAACTCAGGACACATGGGCGTAACTAGGCATACGCACGGATGCACTGTGCGTACAATTTTTTGANAAAAAGCACGTCGAGGATGACAGGAGTTGTCACGTGGCCTAAGGGATATCTTGTACCTTGTTGGGACCAGGTTTTGGTTGCTAAAACATGATATCGAGTTGAAAGAGCTTAGAGTTGACGTTCCGCGTTACATTGTCTCCATGATAAAAAAAATTCCATGTTAATTTTTCACTACTTTTGAAGCCCTTATCTTATAAAATGTTTGGGTTGATGCTGATAAAGTTTTATAAGCGTGCATTTTTTGTGCGTATAATAATGATAAAGATTTATTGCATCCAGGGAAATCTAATTAATTCTACTTATTCTATGACGCTTCTACACTTTCAAGGTCTCTATCCTATGCATGCTGTATCGAGTTACGATCTGTTTGTGATTAAATATTATTAATTGCGTTTTGTATTGTTACGTACTTGTATGTTGATGCTGAAAATGACCATTTTAATATTAAAGAAATAATATTTTCAACCTAAAATGGTGTGAACCGAGGGCGAAAAACTCCGGCGTTTGCATTTTACTTCCAACTATCAATAATGTTATCTAATCCCAACAGAAGATTTTGTTATTAGAAAAATTATTTCCATGTTTTAAGTACGACAACACTACAGATTTCACTACTTTCATTTTTGACCATCCGATAACTATCTTTAATTCCCAATACATTATACGAATATATTTCCAGGTACAAATGCTTGTAACGTGCTGCCACCGAGCGAGCGGGACTGTAACTATGATATATATATGCACTTAGGGAAGGGCATTCAACACGTGATTCTGACAGCCAGGAGTATCCTATGTTGGCAAACTTTCAAAACTGCAAATAACAAGGGAAATTGGTCAAACTATATATCTCTACGGAAAGGAAATGAATTGCTAAGTGTTTTTAAACTTGTAGTGATATGTAATAATGTTAATGCTCGTGATACGAAGTTTTCGTATTTCCTTGTAGCGATACGAAATTACTCTCTCTCTCTCTCTCTCTCTCTCTCTGTACTTTACATTTGAGATTAAATTTGAACTAAATGAAGGATCGAGAGGGAATTAAAGCACGTGCGAAGCCCCCCCCACTTAGAGTTTGAAGTACCCCTTTCTGCAGTAAGGATCGAGCGACAAGAGAAAAGACAAGACACCCATTCCTGTCCCCATTTGACACGGTGGGCTTTCGTTTAAGACGGTGGTGATGTAGATATGAAAAGCTCAACTCTTCAAAGCCATTAAATTGTTGAATTTGCCTCTCATGTCGTGACAAAGCCTATTGAAAATAAGCAAAATGAAAAATATACACCCTCACAAAACTACGAACTTCACATTATTAGCATTTTAAAGAAATGAAATATTAAACAGTTTATACATTTGAGGGCATCGCATTCCGGCAGTCTTTGTTGCAACCTGGTTCACAAAACATTCCACAATCATTTTGATTTATCGTTAATTCCTGCATATTTGTATGCGACAAGTACAACAGATGTGAAGATTTGTATCTCAGACATGTTCATAAAAGAAAACTAAAGGACAATGTGCGTGTAAAAGTACCGTGGCGACGTTTAAGGACACTGCGCTTGCACTTCGTCGCATTTGCCTTTGGAACATGTCACGAATATTTACTTTAGTTGTTCTGCTTTTCTTGCTAACTGCCGTGATGTCAGGTAAAAAGCATGGTAATCTCGCTTGGAAACTAATCAAGTTGGAACTTAAAAATGCTAATTTAAACTTTAATAACGAGAAAAACTGTTTTAAGAAAGATTTGTGTTGCCAGTCTTACATGTAGTAGATAATGAAACGGTATCTATTTTGCCTTTTACAGTATCTCTCGCCTGTGATGACGGCTGGTGCAGTAAGTATCTAACGCCACTTGAATTTACATTGAAGTTGGGGTAACATTATAGATTTTCAAAGCGACAAACTGTAATCTTTTAGCTGTTTTCTCAATTTTCCAGCAAATGATACTAGATTGAGAGATAATAAAATGATAATAAACAAGAGAGAGAGAGAGAGAGAGAGAGAGAGAGAGAGACGATAAGATTGATTAAAATTTGCTCCTTTCAGATGTAATTTTGCAATCTTTTAAAGACGTAGGCCTAACTGTGGGCGTAGCCTGACATTCTGGTCAATTTTGCGTGGACATAAAGTTCATAAACCTCTTCGATAATAATGGTACCTACTATACATTGACTGAACCCGAGTCTTTTGCAACCTACTTTTAATACCTAATTTCTTCGTTTTTGTGTGTTATTATATTGCTTCGTTTATACTACACAAAAACTTCATCCTGACAACAACTGTCCATTAACATATTTTCCTGTGCTGTATTTCCAGGTGCATGCAATTCTCAAGGTGGTCATTGTAGACGTTCACGATGTCCGGTATGGCAAATAACAGTCGCACAGCTTGGATCTTGTTGGTGCTGTAAAAATCGATCAATTAGAGTTGGAGGTTGATGTGAAATTAAAGCAGGTGAGAGAGAAAGAGAGAGAGAAAGAGAGAGTAATGTTTTAATGACCTCTTTGACGCCACTCTACAGTCACTTTACAGTCACGTACAGCACCGCGACTTTGTGCTCAAATTTATTTTTTTATCAGCCCTCTAGTTATGATATAGCGATGAGCATTTCTAACTAGGATTTATTTATATTAATTTGTTTTCTGTTTCAGGCTTCAACTGAACTCTTCACCCTTGACGTCTAAACATCGTGACGATGTTTCCATTCATGTGTTTTGGTCGATATTCCAGCATTTGTAAATGTGTGGAGATTTAGTGAAAATAAACGAAACACCTGCCATCAAATTTTGGTGTTATTGCGTTTGCCAGTATTATTGCAACACAGTCTCGCAACATTTATGGCACGACGACTATTTTTTATCTTTGTCTTTGATATCGTGTTGAACTCTCATTCCTTATTTTAAAATTAAATAAATATATTCTTATGACCAAAGAGTGTTACACTTACAAAAACTTTGAAAATAATTTCCTTACTACTTAAGTTCATTTTTCTTTGTCTCTCCTTAAGAGTTGCTTTGCATTGCTAGCATTTTCTTCAAGAGCACGTCTTTTTCATATTCAATTTCCCTTTTT